TAGGAATAGGCTGGAAAAAAACTAGGGGCGGCCAAACCAAACATGATATCAGTCCATGAAGTCAGTGACAATTGGACTAAGTCATGTTAATAGGTGTACATTACTTAATTGGAGTCCACGGAATTACCGTAACCAATGGTTAGAGACTTTGAATGACAGGGCTCAAAATCGTTTGCAATGGCGCAGATGCATCCATTCCTTGTCTTCTCCCAAGTTCTGAGATTCTAAATTCCTCATAAACTTTTTTGTTATTTATCCAATTTGTTTTTTTTTTCGAGTCGTATCTTCGATGTTTAGTTTTTCCTATTACCACTAATACTGTTACTACCGCTACTATTCTGGGATTTGGTTTAACAACCTCATCTCGGTGTGCTAATGGAGTATGGTAAATTGACCGATGTACATACGTACAGGTTCTACGTTGTGATTGATTGACTTTAATAAATTTCCACATGACACCTGTTCTCATAATCCCATTTTATTTGATGATCATGGATTATCTCATTATATTTCAAGAATGTAATATCTAATAATCAAATCAAAATATAAAGTAATCAAATTCGGGATTATATGTATATTATTAGAGATCTATATAAGATCATTAAAGTATCAGATTAGATTTAGTTGGACGAAACTAATCTGAAATTGATATCACTGTTGAGACGTAGTGTTTTGTTTGTGCAAGGTTAGTGAAGGAAGACAGAGCAGTGAAAGTTGATATTTTAAAGAATAGTTGGATAAGTGTCAACTATGTGACTTTGTTACGGCATCTACTGAAATAATGAAAAATATTAGTTTCAATGTCAAAAGAAATGATCCCACTCTAATTTGGGAATAAACATTTACTCCTACGTTTACATTTCTATGTGTATTAAGCAGATTATTTATGAGGACTCTATATTTAGATAGCTTTCTAATATTTAACTACTAACAATAAATCTTTCGAAAAGATATAAGAATTATTAACACTTACTACAAAGTCTGGCACATAATATGATGTCTCTTACTGTCAGTATCTTTATCTACTTTCTAGTTTAAAGAGATATATTTCGACCAAGGATTTCAGATGTGGTCCCCCCTAAGATAGAACTTCGAATTTCATATGAGATTCTATGAAAAAGAATTTATTAGTTTTTTTTCTAAAACTGCATAATAGATTCAGAAGTGATATTAGCTTATTTTACAAATTAAGATTTAGTCTTAGCATTGGTATTAGTATCAACAGTATCTTACAGAATCCCAAAGTACAATCATTAAAAAGTGAGAAAGTAAGCACAATTACACTCATTTTTATTACATTTAGCATGAAAACATACTTTTCTTGAAAGATGAAGTAATATTAAACTTCTGTGGAACATATATGAAATGTTAAATCATCGATAACAAAAGATACTTCCCCGTTTTCATTAGTTCTTTAATTAAAGTTAATTGATGATAGAAACTATGAAATACAACAATCGGCGAGACTATAATTTGTGGACGGACCAATCATGTATAAGATAACAGGTCTCCGTTTTTGGAGCGAAATTCATCTAACCATTTGGATAAATAGAGTTTTGGTATTATAGCTAATGTCAGTTCTTGATGAAAACCCTAAATCTATTAAATAGGAATAATATATTTGTAAAATCTTAGCGAATGAATTTGATGTAAATCCAACGTTTCGCCTGGCGATTTGGTCCAAGCTTTTTCAAGGAAATATATTTCCTTGTCTTACATCAACTTGGCGCCCAAATACTGTAAAACTATTCACTCTAATTAAGACGAAAGTTCTTATATAAACCCTAAATCTAATTTCTAACTTTAATCATCAACTGTAAATAATAATTCTAATTCCTCACATAGGTTTATAGTCCTCATTTGGTTTTGGTTATTAGGTGGACACTCTTGAGGTCAGTCTAGCGTCGCTCAAAAGTCGTCCATAAATTATAATCTCACCTAACAATCTCTATCAACAACCTGCAGTGTTAAAAATTATATTTTACAGATATGATCACATGGACAAAGTGTAGGTCAATCAAATTTTCAGGATTGATGAAATATAAGTTGGTGCCTAATTGAATAGTTCAGTTGAATAGATATTAAGAAAATTTTATATTCTGACTAATAGACGTTAGTATTTAGTATATATCCATTACATACTTCACATTTTAATGTTGTTTTGTTTTGAAATTTGGATTTATAGGGAGATTTTATATCCACTTAAGGAAGAAATAAACCATTCTGAATAGTATAATCTAATTAATTAACTAAATTGATACACCATAAAAACAACACTTAACCTTACTAATAAAGAAAGAAATAAAAATTAAGATTTTAAGATTAAAAAGATGCAAACCGACTAGGTAAACAATAACAACTGAACAAAAACAAATTGTAAAAGCACCTTAATCAAAAAGTACCCAGTAGATAATAGAAACTTAGTCTATAAAATCTAATGGAATTGTAATATTCGTTAAGTTCGATTTGTATAGATTGAACTTGACAGACAGTAAATAAACTCCACTTAATGATAATAATGATAATAACAATAATATTAATAATAATAATGTTGGCAACAACAGTTAAATATTTACCAATTGATTTCATTAGAACACTTTAACACAATATTTTTATTTATGATTGTCTTCACAGAAAAAAAACATTCTAATCTTTTAAAGTACTCAGTTATGTATTGAAATGCTATATTCATAAACTCAGCATATTAATATTTCGTAGTATTGTAGTGCATGCTACTTATGTCTGTCGACATAAGTAATATTTAACACCAATCGGAAGTAGAAAACTAGGCAACAGAAGGCTGCAAAGGTTGAATTAAAAAAGGTAGAAACGGAAAATGGAAAGTAATTGTGACTTGAAAGAATCATACACAATTTGAGGGACAAATGATGGAATTTCGCGAATGAAGGATTTAATGTATGTTTCATATATTTTACCAAGGGATTCTGTAATTTTGAAATTAAATTCACTTGGTTGTCCTCTCCAGTGTTCTCGTTCACTATGGTAACAATCATTATTTAATTGTAAGGTCTATAAACTACCTTCAAAACTAGTTTAAAGGTTGTATTTATGTTAGAATGGTAGACTGGATAGTTCATGTTCACACTGCTATACATTAAGTTGAATTTTAAACTCTTTTTTGTCTGCATGTAAGTTATGTAATCTTACATCATGGAATGACTTTAGTTAGAGGACAGTCGAAAGCCAGGAAGTACTGAAAAGCTGTTTTGTTCAAGTATGAAACTCCTCCATAAAATGCATTTGCGATCCTACCAAAGACCAAACTCAGAAACTTCAGGCCTCATGAGCCTTTAAACATTACATGACTATCACTTAATAAAATTACAATTATTTGTCTCAAACCAGACATATTTGCAATTTATTAGGTAGTTAGAGGAGTCAGATAAAAGGTACTTGACTTGCGTTTCAAGCTCTTCAGTACTAATCAACAAAATATATCTGAAATATTGAAAACACTAATTATCCCTAGAGTTCAAACCTTGTTCTATAAATTGCCGTAGTCAAAGACGTTGTCCCTAAGCTAATTGTATTACTATTTCCCTTGTGTAAGACCAAGGTATTTACACTAATTTATCAAAAAATATTGCTCATGACATTTCGCTTAGAAAAGTCGAGGGAATTTTTGAAAAAAATACGTTAACCATTGAAATAGAAAAGAAAGTAACAACTATAAGTTACAATCTATAGTTCCTTGGTAAATTAGTATAGAATAAAGTGATATTTTGGAAAAAAAATACAGGAGATAAATTATTATACTGTACTATTCGGGTTTCTAATTTAAAAAAATTTAAAAATAACTCTTCATGCTAATAATTAGTTACTATTGATTTTATAATTGAAGTAAGCCAATTATAAAAACTATCAATAGTAAGAGGTCATATTTATAAAATTTGCCTCTTTTTAAAAAAAGAAATAACTAGTGTCAGCTTGGATAAAGTACAAATGAAGTTTAAGTGTTTTTATATCACTCATAAACTAAAAGCTTTAGTGTAGATGTAAAAATTCAAATTCAACATTAACACCGTCGGATGCCGGCTCAGTGGTCTAGAGGTCGAGAGTTCGTGCTCGGGACTAAAGGTCCTAGGTTCAAGTTCTGCTTGCGGAGTCGTGGATGAGCACTACTGAGGATTCCCGTACTGGGACGAAACGGGTGTCCAGTGCTTCCAAATTTTTAATGGCGGTCTAATATTGATCGGTTCATGAGCTTATTTAAACTTACTCAAACAATTCAGTATGAATCTCGTTCAATATTATAAGTGTGAAATTTCGATCAATGTGACATTTCTATTAACTTTAATAATTCAGATGAACTGTATTCAGTGCTTTTGTAGTAGTGCTACGTACGATATTAAGTGTATATAAAAATCCATATACTAATTAATGCATTTGATTTGACGACGATGTTTTTGGACTTGTTTCGAGGAGTTGTTTATTTGAAGAGTCAATAAGTCATCATTCGCATCAATCTTTCGTTTTCTTACTTGGGCTGTGGGAATTAGAGTGGTTTCTGATTTTCAAGTATAAGCAGTAGGGTCATTGATACAACAGAGGCGATGAGGACATAACATTTCTATTATGATAAGTTGGCTAAATCATTCCACATTATTGTCCACTTTGTGAGTTCGTTATAAATATCTCACTAGTAACACATCATAAGGAGACATTTAGGGACGCCGGTTCGAATATCTAGTGGGGAAGTATCAATTATTTCAGAGTTTCAGGTATACATTATTGATGAACATAACCAGTAAGAGAACATGGGTCCACAGTTTTTCACAAATTGCCTTTAATCACCTTACATTAACCATATCTTATCACTTCAACCGAAACAAATATATTTTATGATGATTTTTTGAAAGACTTCACAAGAACCTTATCATTTTAATAATCAGTAGGAATTCCATTAGATATGACTAGTGTTATTATTTGTACCAGTAGTAAAATTGAAACTAAAGAAATTTACATAATTGTTCACTTACAATTCAAATATTGTGCAAACACTTCCTTTAATTATTCTCATTTTGTCTTCTGAATACGGAGTTGAATTTTTCACATTCAATGTATGTCTTCGATAATCAGAGATTAAAGTGTGAACTTTTCTAGATGTATCGAATGAATGTGAATGAGAAGACAGGTATTTTCGATTTAGTTTCCAAACAGTTGCAGTTACATCATTTGGATGTCTTTCGTTTTTCAAAGGAATTTCAAAAGTTTTTGAAGAATGTCGTTGGACATCACCATCATTAAGATTGTCATTTTCAAATGAGGAATATTGCTGTTTATTTGGTGAATTAAAACTAGAAAAATATTTGCGTCTCAATTTCACATCCAAAACTTTGGTGAACATGGAACCTTTGGATTTAGTCGTCCTTCTTTCAAAGTTCATTATGATGAGAAAATTTTTTAACTAAATAAGTTACATTTTGACGTAATAACTTTTTCACTAGCATAGTCTAATTTGTATTGGTAACCATTGTGAATTTGATAAGAAAAATTCTGTAGTCAAGGTTTCGGTTTGGCCTTGAGCCAACCAATAAAATTCATCGAATATGTAGATTAATGAACAGTGAAAATACAAATTGAAATCATAAAAACAATTAACGATTTCGTGTACTTAACTTTTGTATTCAAATATAAATAAATTCAAGTCAACATTGAGTGATAACCAACAGACTGTTTGTCTAAAGTGACTAAAATTAACTCAGTTCATATTAGTGATAATTATACACAAGGTTAGTGAATATGCAAATAAGGCTATGAAAATGGACTGTTTTTAAATAAGACACCAAACAAAAAACAAACATCACTAATTTTACTTGCTCCAATGTTTTTTTCACTGCTTTTTGCAAATGTGATCATCCATTGTATGTTATTTTGTGATAACTTGTAAATTACTTAGACAAAACAGTTCATTGACGAAAACAATATGTTTAATTTTTCATTCAAATTTCTCAAATAGGAGAAAAACTGAGAAATATATCTTGCTCTTGATAAAGTTACTCAACCGGTTATAGAGTCAAGAATGCAAAATTTCATGATAATAACACTAGGATCTTTTAGATACTGATTTAGTGATTTGCAAATCATATGTTCATATTTTAGTTAAAACTGCTTGTTTTCCATTAAGTTAGAGAATAACCGATGTATAAAAAATGATTTATCAACAATTTTTTCAGTTATGATTGACTGTCTTTTAATATTAAACGGAAGTGGATTTTAGTCACAGAGCAATATCATGGATAGGCTGAAGTTGAAAATACAAATTATTCTACTTATTTTGGGTGGTTGAAAGATAAAGCGATTGCTCAGGAACCTAAGTTCGAATCCTTGTGCTCTGTCGTAAATGAATGGCGGAATGGGACTTTCTGGTTTTCAACGGGCATTGAACTTCAGTCGGTCCGTGATATAAGCTATAAATTATATATATATGTATATATATATATCCATTCACGGATCCTATTTACTAATGGAGAATCACTAAACGAAGTCCCAAATGTTAACTGCAACAGAATATAAACACTATAGCCATCGAACAAGTCGGTGGCTGCTTTGACTCAGTGTTATAGCCAATAATTTTGTTGTCTTGAGTTAAGATGTAAATAACTATACGATTCAATAATGAATTATATCCCTCAACTAAGACAGTTGATTTATTGATTTTGTAAACTATAGACACATTAAATTATTGACTATTTAATGTCAACTACTTCTGGTTCAATGCATTCAATTTCGCCTGTCAAACGAGCACTTAAAACGATGTGTATCTCATCGTTATTTCTGATGTCTTTTTAATTAGTGATTGGTGAATAAGTAAGTTATAATTTTCAGTCTTTCTTCCTTGCATCCGTATAACAGCCTCGTTCCGTTGTAATAAGTACGTTATTACCAGCCACAGCAAACAACAATACTAGTAACAGTATAATCCTTTTGCTGAGCCCTTACTGAAGCGATGAGTGCTCAGTATGCGACTCTCACCGTGAATATCAAAAACGACGTTTGGTTACATTCACCTGAAAGGTCTCAAAAAGAATGTAATCTGTATTCTGGACTCGACTGTAGCTTGTTACTCAAAATATTATTAATCTGCATTCTAGATTTTAAAATAGGTTTTTTTCTTCTCATAAACCCTTTAAATGACGTTGATAGCTGAAATCCGAAGGCGAACACTGCAAAACAGAGTATTGCTATGAAATAGACCCCTTATAAGAAACCATCAAGAACTGAACCAATTTTAAACCTTAGTAACTTACATAAAATTTGATCACCTTTCTGACAGAAACCAAGTGAGAACATTCAGTCTATTGTTATCGTTCAAAAACAGTTAGTCTGACAAGTGACTGTCATAAGGAGTTCATACCAGCAGGAAAACTAGTAAGAAATGAGCAGCTGTTCCTTCCAATAGCAGGACTTCTCAGTAGCGCATACTCTACAAATCATGCAAGGACAAACTCAGGACTTTCAGATTTCGAAGCCATCGTGACTCCTATGAGCGACTAAATCGTATATGATTGGTTTACATAGTCAACCTGTCGTATAGTACAGTCTTTATTCAATATTATCAACTAGTAATCGTCTCACTCCAGACTTCTTGAATTATAACTTTCCAACAGAATTTTGAGAAATTCATATCCAATACAAGTAAAAACACTACTATAATTCATTTAAATGCGCTCCTAGTGTTTTAATAATACATTGAACAATACTAATCAGAGTGACAGATTTTAAGTAACTTAGATGTCATAAGTAATCCTACTACAATATTCTGTCATATTCAAATGAAGACGATATCAGCAAAACACTTCGATTCATTCTAAATTATCAGCGTTAGATTTTTGTCTGATCCTATTCCACAAATTACTTGCTCTATAATGTTCCGATTTTCTGTAAAATATTTCCGACAGTAATTTTAATTCTTCAGTACCGAACAATTAACTTGGTGAAATAAAATGGCGTTCACCAAGAAACCAACACCAATTATTATTAACATGAATGCTTATTCACCTATGTATCGATCTCTAACTGATTTAGACAATTCAGTTGTGATTACCATTTTTATGGCTTTGACTGCTCAAACTATATTTTATTTATTTCTTCATTGTTATGCAGTAGTCACATGGCAATGCAGTAATAATTTAGAAATGATAATCGACAAGAAACCCAGCTAATTTATCCTGGTTTTCTCTATAATTTAATTATACCTAGTTTACTCGCCTAATTTTCCTCAGTTAACTTTAATTGCCTCATGTTTCTAGAAAGAACTTCTGAGCTGTCGCATTTTTTTAAAGAAAACTGTTCAATCAAGTTCCTATTTCCATTTAAACACTAGGACAGGTGAGGAACATTAAAACTAATATATTATCGAAACGTGGAAATCCAGGGTGACCAATGTAAGGGAAAATATTTCAGAGAACGGATTTATGATCTAGACCATTCACCGATAATTGTTACACTTAGCCTGTTTTTGTTGATATTGAAAACATGGGACTAGTAGTTGATCGCCAATGAAGTTTGTTATAGTATCTTTTATTAATCTATTCATTGTTTTAATATTTAAATCTCGAAAGAATCGTCTTATCTATTTGGTGAATGTATAACCACTTTCAATTAATAACTGAAAATAGTTCTGTGATCAAGTTATATAAACTAGAGTCGAATTATCAGCAAAGCATACCCTATGCATTGGATTCTTACGTCCGTATATGTTGATGGTATTCGTTCAAAGTTACAGAGAGAAACATAAACTAATGATTGTAAAAATAGATGTACATGTTAATGAATATTTACCTCATAAAGAGACTTCTGTTAAATTCATCACCTGATAAGCTAAACTACCTATAATGTATAAATTGTGAGATTTTTGAGAGCGGCTTACTTGTTGTACATACATTAGGCTTTGTTTAATATACGAATAAACCCCACTACTGGTGATGATAACACCGCTAAATACATATTTAATCACATATAAGCAACTCTGCTGCTCGTTGGCCAAACTTGAAGATTGCCAAGAAATATGTGACTTGATACTGGTGATAAACGTATATACTAGAGTATACCTATTATAAAATCCAAAAATGTGATGCGATATAACCCTTAAAGTACAATTCACACCAACGCAGACCTCAACAGTTTTGAATCCAATAAGCTACCATTGACAAGTTGTTTGAATAGAAATCTTGTAAGATTATTCAATAAAACTGTCAATTAGAACAGGTGAAAAAATGAATCGAGACAGGATACTTTACAAATGTACAGTAAGCAGCTCAAACTGGAACTCCCGATGAATATTGTGTTTGGAACAAACCTATTATTACGAAAACTAAGGGCCAATGAACCCATATAACTTGCAAGTTTTCTATTTTCCCGTCACGTGACATCAGATTGCTAAGAGTTATCACTTAAACTGTGAGAGCGGACAAACTAGATTACTAATTAAACGTTTTGGTTTTCGTACAATCGCTTCAGTATGAACTAATATACATAATGGTATATAAACAAGATTAATCAGAAATGCTATTTTGCCAAATTTTGTAAAATAGCATTTAGTATAACGGCCAACGAAATATTGTTCATCCTAAAAATTATATAAATAAATATCCCATTAATTTTTTCCACATTCTACTTAAGTTACTCAAGACAAACCTATCGAATATGAAATCGGAACTTGTTCAACGAATTCGCCAATATTTATTGACTAAACATTAAACAAAATAGGATTTCTTAATTGGATAATTAGTGTTTTTGATTTAATATACGTGGATATTCTATTATATAAAGACTATACACTAGTACGGTTATTGCAAATATCCAACATTTAGGCAGTCAGTAGAAAACCAGAGAAAATAGCGATGTAAAGATCGGAATAGGACTTGGTCAGAGAGTAAACTATATGTTTTTTTTTAGAATACGTTAAGATGTGAGAAAATAAAATATTTGAAGGCCAGCGTACAAAGAAAACACATGTAAACAAAAATATTTATGCAAACTACTCTCTTAGTTAACTAATGATAAAACAAAATAACCCCATATAACATGAAATGCCGAAAACACTTTTTTATTTGTTTCAAATATGATTGTAAATAGAAATTTGAATAGCCGTCAAAAATTGAATGTTTCAGGAACGTAAAACACGGACTCAGTTATTTGTAAGAATCCAACATCTCTGGGATTAAATTTTCATAGATTTTATAGTCAACATCCATAAATATACAAAAGATAACACGTTGAATCTGAAAGAAAGAAAAACAGTACGCAATAGAACATGGAAGTACAACACACAACCAAACAATTATATAATAATGAATAATAATAATAATAAAATCATTCTGACAAATAAATTATAAAACAAAACCAAGTTTCATTTTAAAGCACTTTCGCTTTATTTTTGATATATTTACACTCCAAACCAAATTTATCTGATGTTTATATTCACACCTCTTCCACAATTACGAGTATCTTAGACACGTATGATCGAATAAAATTCTGTTAACTTAATAAATGATGGGTACAAAAAGTAGACTGAATAACTGATTGATTATAAAGATTTCTTGCTCAATAAACAAAAACATTTTAGAACTGAATGATGAACAAATCATACTGTATTTATGTAATTTAATAAAACTTTAGATATCCAGGGAACCAGTAAAGTAAATAATTTTCTGTGTACTATGATTTAAGTTTCTATTCTGATTAACTCTCACTTAATGCTTTAATATTTTTGTCGGCAAAGCTTTTAAAACAATCGCTGCAATCTACCAACCATGTTAACCAATCAGATTCAATTACAAAACAATCCAAGTAGTTAATAAGTATTTGCAGAACTTCACTTTTCGTTAGATTTAATAAGATCGATTCATGTACAGTATCTTATGTATATAATAAACAGTAAACAATTGTTATCTGTAGTATCATCTCCATATGAAAACAGCAATAACCTAATGCGGTTTTGAGGTTAGACTGACAAACAATAGAATTAGCCTTGAAATGAATGGAAAGACAAAGGAATAGGGAATAAGACATTTACCTCCTCTCTAAAAAGATGAAAACCTCTAGTCTGGGAGTAACTAATTCTATACTGAAAATGTAGAAACAAGAAACTACAAACGAATGTTGGCACACGGTATTTATCGGGAACAAATTCAATGTAACTCTTTTAAATTGTCACATATGTATAATAACGATCAAGTTATGAAGACATGATTCCTGATAAAATGATACTCATGTTTTGAACGACTTAATTATTAATAAATACAACACTAATATATCGACGTATTACTAACTATAACATTACTACCCACTATTACTGGTTTAAATCAGTAACTTAAATGCTACACAGATAAATAACCCAATACTGTTGGCCTCGTTTGCACAAGAACTTTGTCCATAGAATTTTCATAATATATTTACTATTATTTTAAACGTACCTTGGTCTCATTATCAACATACCCGACCTTCTATGTATTGTTTAAATGAAGCCATTAGAGATACTATACCAGTCTTTCAATTTCTAATCACCTCTTTTGGTTATCGTCGGTAATGAAAAGACAATACTCCAGTATGTAATACGATATTACAAAAATATGTTAAAGAATGCATTTTACTAAATACAAATGACTGAAAAAACCAACCTCTTGATGAGATTTGAGATAGGAGAGCACCGTGTGAAGTGCCACCTTGGCAGCTGCTTCATTAGGGAAACCTTGGGTTTAAATATAAAGAATTAAAATGTACAATATATAATGTAATATAATATTAACATTAAGTGATGGTCGTGGAAATTACAAGTCAGTCTACCAGATGATATGCCAAGTTATTTAAGTAAACATTTCTGAGCTTTATAGTGATTACAAAGACCAGCTTTCAATATTCTAACAGATTCTGAAACACAATTAAACCCAACGCTCTCAAGCTACAGAATAACTTTTTGAACTCACTAATTAAAAGATCCTGTGTGTGTAATAAGCAGTGAAAGGTGTATCTAGTAAGTGTGTCACATTATTTGGATATTCGTAGAATAACGAGTCTATGGTGAACTCTTATTTCAGGTGTCCATGGATTGTGCAGACTGTAGTAGGATTTGAATATTTACTCTATTTTTATTATAGTGCAGATATACTTTCGCAGATAAAAGGTTTTTCCTTCATGATCTTATAAAGATAAACCTATAGTACAGAGATAACAGAGCCATTCAGACGAATATTCATAATGTTTTTCGATCGTAGTACACAAAATAATTATCAATCATTAGTCTATATAAATTCTTATTCCTATCACAGAGAGAGATTTGGTGATTCACCAATTGGATATGAACATTCGAATATGTTCGCTCCTCCGTTTGAAGAAAGATATCTTTCTACCTGACAAGTCACACGAGTTGACTAAAGCCAGGCGGGATTACTCAATCCATGACAACATTCAGTTATTGATCCGAATAGCTATTTAATGGAAAAAAATATAAAATTATCAACAATAATTCAATTGCTGAAAAATTCCGACCATATTAAAACACAATAGTATGAACAAAGAATATTCTTTTCAATAATTTCTCATCAGGTTCTACAATTATAAATCCAAATTAATAATCCACAAAAATTGGCCAAGTTTAAGACAGAGTACATCATTTAAAATTGTAACATGTGAATCAAAGAAAGTTTGTAATATAAAATAAAATCGAATAGTTAATGTTGGGATGACTATAATATGAAGTGTCAACTCGAATCAGTTTATAAGTGAAATGAAATTGTGAGATAAATGATCAAAATAAACATAGTTGACATGGGGTGAAAGAGAATAATGGGATTTCAAATCAGAAATTACATAATATGCAGAACAATATGAATTAGGTCAGATATAGTAGATAGGGTGGATGATGAATAAATGTCTCTAAAAGGTTAGCAAGTGTAATAATGATAATAACTAGTAAGATGTGTAGATAAAATAAGTTTAGGATATAAAAATGAGCATTCATCAAATTAATGTCACCATATTATGAATCTGATTATTAACAAGTTGACCCTGAAGTTGGTCAGAGTAAAAGGAGCGGCTGAACATATTTTTTTAGATGCAAAGCTCTAGCTTTTTGATCCGCATAGCAATTGCCTCAGCCATCTGCAGGATTCTTAATCTGACGGAATTAGGCAGATTGTTGTTAACACGGTACGGATACCCGGAGAAATTTATAAATAAAAACATAGCTAGTAAAAGAGAGCATAAAGAATGTTTAACTGTGAATAAAAAACCTCTGTATATACGTCTACAATTCAGAGGCGACGCAGCTAGTGAAACGTTAAGACTGAAGCTACGAAGATCAATCCAAAGGACTTTTAATGCAGGTAAACTACAACTAATGTTTTCCACACGTCCAATGATCACGCCAATGTTGAAAGATAAATTGCATAGACTAGCCACTTCTTTCTGTATCTATCAATTCAACTGCTCCTGTGGGGCAAGTTATATAGGAAGATGTTCTAGGAATTTGTATACTCGGACTCGTGAGCACCTCCCAGTGTGGTTAAGCAAAGGTGTAGTCAAAACGGTTAACAGCTCTATTTTAGCCCATTTAATTCAGACGGGACATATAGCCAACATAGAGCAATCTTTCGCAATAATATACCGTGTTAACAACAATCTGCCTAATTCCGTCAGATTAAGAATCCTGCAGATGGTTGAGGCAATTGCTATGCGGATCAAAAAGCTAGAGCTTTGCATCTAAAAAAATATGTTCAGCCGCTCCTTTTACTCTGACCAACTTCAGGGTCAACTTGTTAATAATCAGTTTCATAATATGGTGACATTAATTTGATGAATGCTCATTTTTATATCTTAAACTTATTTTATCTACACATCTTACTAGTTATTATCATTATTACACTTGCTAACCTTTTAGAGACATTTATTCATCATCCACCCTATCTACTATATCTGACCTAATTCATATTGTTCTGCATATTATGTAATTTCTGATTTGAAATCCCATTATTCTCTTTCACCCCATGTCAACTATGTTTATTTTGATCATTTATCTCACAATTTCATTTCACTTATAAACTGATTCGAGTTGACACTTCATATTATAGTCATCCCAACATTAACTATTCGATTTTATTTTATATTACAAACATTCTTTGATTCACATGTTACAATTTTAAATGATGTACTCTGTCTTAAACTTGGCCAATTTTTGTGGATTATTAATTTGGATTTATAATTGTAGAACCTGATGAGAAATTATTGAAAAGAATATCCTTTGTTCATATAATTGAGTTATTCAATTTGCTATGAGATGTAATAACAACTAAAGGATACCGCAATAACTACACAAATACCTTTATAATGGGTTTTCGACTGGTAACACTCATGATGTGAATACCATAAAACTAACTAGATAAGTTTCGCTGTTTGGGAATGTATTTCTTTATATATGTATTTATCAATGTAATTAGTCGAATAAAATGTTCCACTTAGGGACTTGAAACAGATGACGAGAACATTGTCTCTAACTGCATATCTATCGGGGTCGAATACGACATCTTAAACCTAAGTGATTCAGACAGGATTTTAAAAATGTTCAAATGTTACATACGCAATTCACTACAAGTGTCATTCACTGGAAGCTTTGGAAGTAGACCTTATCAAAGGGACGAAAATCTCTTACTTGACGACTTATATAAAAAAAATCACAGCAAAATACTTCGAAACAACTAGAAACTAAGAGTTAATAATTTTATTCTTAAACAACAACAGGCCCACATGAATAATGAAGGTAACTAGATAAGATGATACGTAAAGTAGACGTATCATCGAAATGATAAGAGAAGAACGAATCTGTATGAATGACAAACTAATAAGAACTTACCATAAACCCCTGTGGATATGCAAGGAAATGCAATAGACTGGATATTGTGCTCAGAGCACAACTCCAATGCCTTTCGGTATGTGGATTCCAAAGCTGCATCATTCCGTCCGACAGGTCCGACACAATGAATTACGTCTAAGGGTTAGAACAGTAGGAAATTGAAAATAATGACCTGAGAAAATGACAGGTAACAAGCAATACAGAGAAGAAAAAAATTGCACCTGTTATAGAACAAGTGAAACTATATGATTGATAGGCTGACGTAGTGATGAAGTAGTGGGGAGGATTGCATCAGCTGGAAGTCACGTTTTAAAAGAAGCTAACATCAAGTTAGAAACGACATATCGGATATAGCGATATATCTATTATGTTCTAATTCGAGAATCCTGGGTAGCGAGTGTCCACAACTTCCTGCTAATTTTTCAGACTTACAAAGCAATTTTTACTGGTAATTCACTTAATCAGTCAGTTACAACGTAGAACTTCATACGTACGTACATCAGTTCGAGTTGCCATACCACATTAGCAAAGAGATGCAGTTTTCGATTCAAATCCATAATGGTAGAAGTAGTAAGAGTATAAGCAGTAATCGGAAAGATTAGGGTTTGAAGATGTAATTGAAGGAGTATAATCCAGTGAAATAAATTTGGAAAAAAAAGGATACAGACATGAAGAATTAAGAAGATTAGAATTTGGTAGAACACAAAGAGTGTATGCACCTTCGCCATCGCAAACGATTTTGAGCCATGTCATTCAAGGTCTCTAACCATCGGTTGCTATCATCTCGCGAATCCCAACCAGATAGTCTACACCTACCAACACGGCCCAGTCCATTTGTCAGAGACTTCATGGATTTATGCCATGTTTTGTTCTGGCCGCCCCTAGCTTTCTTCCAACCTACTCCTACACCATAAAGCATTGCACGTCGGGGCACTCGGAGGTTGGGCATAAGTAACATATGTCCCAGTCATCTCAACTGATGAAGTTTCACTACTTCATCAATCCATTTGCCATCCTTACCTAGTACCCGTTTCCTAACAACTGCATTACTTACCCGGTGGTCCCAGGATATACGAGCAATGCGTCGAAGACACCTATGATCGAATACTAGTAGCCTACGAATATCCTCTACTCTTATCGGCCATGTTTCACTGCCATAAAGTAAGACGGAACGAACTGCTGCACAGTAAACCCGTCCTTTTGTTTATAGACGGATATCTCGTCTACGCCATAAATGATGCAAGTTGGCGAAAACCAGACGAGCCTTCTGTATCCGTGCTGAGATTTCGTCACACACCAGACCACAAGGGCTGATGAGACTCCCGAGATAAGTGAAGCTGTCAACACGCTCAACTACTTTACTCCCTATTATTAGTTTGGGTGTCGATGCAACCCAATCCTGAAGTAACATTTTGCACTTCGAGGGAGAGAATCGCATCCCGAACATGCCTGCATTGTTGCTTATAGTGGTCAGAAGACTCTGCATTTTGTCAGCGTCTTTACCGAATAAAACTATGTCGTCGGCGTATTCTAAGTCAACAAGTGAATCTCCCGGTAAAAGTTCAACTCCAGGAGATTGAGATGATGAAAGTGATACCTCTAAAAGCATGTCAACGACAAAGTTAAACAAGAATGGGGAGAGTGGACAGCCCTGACGAACACCACTTGAGGTAACCGATTCTGACGACAGTTCGCCATAGGCTCTAACTCGACCAGTTGTGTTCGAGTAGAGAGCCTTTATGAGGTTAATGTACTTTTTTGGTACTCCTTTCACTGACAAACACTGCCATAGAACCTCAATATCAACGGAGTCAAATGCCGCCTTAAGGTCAAGAAATACTACTATTTAGGACGTCTGAATGCATGTCTATGTTCTAGGACCTGACGTAGAGTGAATATCTGGTCTATGCAACCACGTCCAGGTCGGAAACCAGCCTGAATTTCTCTAGTCTGCTCTTCACGAGCTTTGGTTTGGCGACCTAGTATTATTGAAGCTAATATTTTAGACACTATATTAGTCAAACTGATTCCTCTGTGATTGTCACAAGAGGACTTTTGTCCTTTCTTATAGACTGGCACAATCAGTGATTGGGACCAGTCAGATGGAACTACGTCCAGTTCCCAGATTCTACCTAAGACCTCAGTCAATCTCGTTGCTAGTACTGGACCACCATCCTTAAAAATCTCAGGGGTAAACTTGTCAGGGCCTGCGGCTCTCCCTCGCTTTAGATTTCCTATAGCTTTTTCAACCTCGTAGAGAGTTGGAGAACTTACCTCAATTTGCCATTCAGGACGACTGGGGATCGTGGGTAACTGAAGTGTGGCTGAAGGCCAGTTGAACTGATCCCTAAAGTGTTCTGCCCATCGATCCAATCTCCTGGATTGAGAATGAATGATATGCTCATCTTTGTCTCAGATAGTTTCACTGATACTTGGGTTCCTAATATCGGTTTCTTTAAAAAGTCTGAATAGCTGTCTGCTGTTACCTATTGCCGCTGCCTTTTTCATCTCTCTTGCTTTCGCTACCCACCACTGTTCACGATCATTGCGTAGGCTTCTTATCAGCCTTCGCTTAAGCTGACTCCGCTCTTCGTTATGTTTAGAGCCAGGTGGGATGAGTTTTCGAGCATCTATCAGTGTGGTAGATGCTTCCGAGATCCATTGTTTCTCCCTGACCTTATAGCTTACCTTACTAGCGGATATCACTGCTGTTTCCACAGCTTTACGGATGTCATTCCACGCTGCTTCGGGGTGGGCACAATTTACATGTATGTCTAACTGTTCTTCCAGTTGTTCCTGAAATATATTCTTAGCTTGCTTATCATTAAGTAGAACCCTTAGAGGCTTCCCTGCAGTGTCTTTCTTACGTCCAGTAAGACGCAGACAGATACATGCTCGCACTAGAGCATGATCCGAGTCTAAACATGTGCTCCAGAATGAGCGGCAGTCTTCTATCGAGCCATCGGTGGTTGATAGCGATGTGATCTAATTGGGTCCAACGTTGGGATGAATTCGGGGGTCGCCATGTCAAAAGATGTTTTTCCTTATGCTTAAAGTTAGTATTTGCAAGAAATAGGCGGTTATCTGAGCACGGCTGCAACAGACGGTCGCCATTATCTGTTCTTTCCGCCATGACACCATAAGATCCTCCCAGGTGTCTTTCCCTTTCACTTAGTTTACCTACTTGAGCATTAAAGTCACCAGCCACTATTACTACATCAGAACGCCTAGCTTCTCGGAGAAGGTCAGAAAGTTTCCTGTAAAACTCATCTTTTATATCGTCTGAGCTGCAGTCAGTGGGAGAGTAGGCAGAGACGACGAAGAGGCAACGACGAGTTTCCCTATCTTTCCGAGTCCTTACTGATCCATTTAGTCGGACAGCGCATAGACGACTGTCTACTGGGATCCAGTCTAAAATAGCTAGTTCTGCCCTAGGACTTAATGCTATACCTACTCCGGCGAGGCCACGGGAAACAGCATTAGGGCTTCCAGATACACGAAGCGTGTTTTGATGTTGGTTTGTTCTCTGAGCTGGGTGGTTTGGTCGTGGAGCTTTCATCGCCCTTCTGAACGACATCATCAGCACAAACTTCGGGTAGAAGTGAAGTGTTTGAATTTCTCCACATGTGATTTACAGCTTGTCCTCTGCACCTCGATGTTGATTGGTTCTTATTGACCTTAAATCTGTCATTGTTTATTTCTTTGTTTTGGTTGTATCTCCTATTGGTTTGATTTTTGTTCTTATCTTCCTGCATAATTTTCTTGATTGGTTGATAGATTGGATTGATTTCAATATGTTTGTTTATTGCTGATTGACCTGAGTGCCAAGTTTCTAAAAATTCTCTGGTATTTTTGGAATTGCCTCTGTCCAAAATCTGCACGTTTTCCCAGTCGAATGTATGTCCGTAGTTGTCCACGTGTATTGATATGAGTGAAGAAATGTCGTGACGTTTGACTGCTAATTGGTGTTCATGTAGGCGAAGGTACACGAAGCGTGTATCGAGATGGTTCTTTATTTTGATTAGGTGCGGTCAAATGAATGACACTACTCGGATCTTGTATGCGCGTTTCGGTGACGCAGCACACATCGATGGTGTAAGATTCTAGAGTCCTAGCTAAGGAAGCCTGTTGTCCTATTTGGCACAATGTTCGGACATTAAAAGTTCCTATATGTAGTTTAGAGCGTGGTTTCAGGAGACCAGGAATAACGTTCCATGTACTTTAATCGTTTGCCCTAGCGGTGCGAGGTGATAAAAGGACGTGGGAAGGGTTAGTCGTGGAGATAAGAGAGTTATTAGGAGTAGGAAGGATTTGAAAGTGACGGGTATGAGGGCTAATATCACTTCCCGGCTGCCCACACCGTGGAAGGGTATTTCTTGAGGGACCTGAAAAAGAGGTCGGATTAGTGTTGGTCTTAACGACCTGGGAGCGTGACCGCAGTGCCCAAGGGACAACTGCTTGAGGCCGGTCACGCACGGCCTTTTTGTGGGGGATTTTTGACGTGTTAGCTCCGTTCTTCAAAATTCCTTACCGCCGGAGACGGAAATCCGTGGGATAAGGCAAGGCGTGCATTTTTAGGGTCGACCTTTCTTAACCCCACCCCTCCTTGTGGGAAGGCAGCATCGCTGTCATGCTGGTTGTCTGAAGGAAACACCTTACTGCCATCACACCTCTGTACAGTCGGCAGTACGACTTCGCCTTCGGACCTTGGGATTGCTGCTTTTAGTCTTATCGCTCTTCAACCGACCTGTCTGGCATTGTAGAACCTCAAGGAACGGTTGTTCCAGCCAGCATAGCTCGATTGCTTCATCACGATAGGCAAGCCCAACCACCACGTCAAGGTAGCAGCAACGGTCGGGAAGGAACAATAACGGGGCGGACTTGCATGCATATAGCAAACAATTCTCTTTGAACCTAGCACACAACAATACTGTCATGCACTGTCCCATCGCCCTTGGCAGATCAGGCAACCCGAAAGTCACGAGAACACCATCAGGGCATACGACAGACTAGGTACCGCTATTAGGTCCAGTATTGGCTTTTTAAGTAAAAGTTCTGCAACCAATCCTACCTAGTTTCGGAAAGTTGACACCTAGTATTGTGCAACTACACGTGATCAAACTAGGAGAGATAAGTGAAGTTTATCTAGGCTACTCCTCCATGAGGCTCACCTACAGAGAACTAAGCTTGGAGAACAAGAACAATAGACGAAAATCCAGCATAGATTCACATCATTTGTCAAATTTTTCCTGGAAGTGTACAGATTGTATGCAGTGTGAATAACTATTTCATTTTGCAGAAAAAGATATTGGATTAGGATGGACGATCTTATCGACTTTTAAATATAACCGCAAAACCCAAGAGTCGACCGTACAACCTTTCTTCTCAACATCTTTTCACTTTCACAGTGGTAGCTTTAGACCTGGTAAACTTTACTGCGGATACCAAAAACTCACGAGATACGAGGGTGTGTGCTGCTTTTAGAATTGACCTATGATTCCTTTGACCAGTAGGATAGTAGAGTCATCGATTGTTTTTGGTAAGCACTTTAATATCCCCATATCTTAGATACGGTAGTCAGCCTCAAGATTTGGAAACTGCTTTCATTTAGTGGCCTTCTACAGGACTGCTTGGCTTGATAGGACTACAAATGACAAGTAATCCAAACAACACGACTCGATAGGATCATCGCTAGACAAGCTCAACTAGTATATTGAGGTAGAGGCTAACAATGTTAGCGGTCAAAGCTCATGATCATTATAACTATTAGTATACCACCAGAACTAATCAAGACGATTAGCCATTTTTTAACTTTGAGCTAAGTTTATTAGTAATGTCTCTGAATAGACCTACTTTGGAGAACAGAATTGATCAAGTTATTCCCCATGAGATAATAAAAACTAGTCAACACTATATTCGTATAGATTTATTTATGTTGCTTCTTGATGTCACCAATTCTCATAGGTGAGTCACGATTTCAGGTCGAGTACTAATTAATCATGGGAAAACATAAGGATAATTTGTCTGGTTATTTTCTCATTTTGGGCAATGAGACTCACAATAATAGAGAGAAATCTTCTGTACTTGTCCACAAGTGCAATGAGCTATTTTATTCCACTATTCATTTTGATTAATCATCATCATTAAACTCATCATTTTAAGACAATGGTCCTTAAATAACATGAATATGATCAAATTCCTTAACCTATCCCAAATTGCCTATCCAGAAATCCCATTGAAGATGGTTATCCATTAAACAAAGAAGAAATATCCTAGTAAAAACCTGAGATGAGCACTTTGAGAAAGCAAACATGTCTTCATACTATGTTCTACAAACACTTAATTCCCACATTGAATGACATGACGGTAGATGTTGCAATATATTTAATTAAACCAGCTCTTATATGTAACTATGAACGAACACTTGATCAGAACAAGAACTAAATTATCAAATAGGTTTGCGATTGGTTATGTGCAGGAAATCACATATATGGAGAAAATTCTTATAAAATCATCTATAAAAACTCATGCACACATATCTACTTTGGAACAAAAACAAGAAAACACGATATGTGTACAAAAAAGTTTACAAAAATACCTCTAACATCAACGAAACATTTATTACGCGATAGACCGGGACTTATTTAACACTCTTGACGGGGAGAAGAATCCATATTAGAACTGGTTACATTTTGGTACAGATAGTCTGGTGGTAAAATCACCAACTTTAGAAGGTAGTTTGTCAGGCTACTACAATTAAAATCCTTAGTAGCTAGTTTTTCCAAAGGAAATAACTCAAAGTCTTAAATCAATTGGCAAATTGAAAGACTAATATACTAAGAAGTATATTAGAAAGGAAGACAATACGTGACAAAGTACATTGATACTAAAATACAACCTTCTGGTTCATTATTTTGCGACCGTACAGGACTATAGTGAAAAAAAAATGAGAAAGCAAGATAAAATCCGAAAACAAAAATGGATAATCTGATCTGTTCCCTAATAAGAACCTTGAATATAGTTATGTGGATTTAATGTTTTCGTAGGACATAGGATTTAAATAGTTTACTTGTGCATTGAATAAATTGTTCAAACGTATATGACAAAACAAGAAAGAAAAGTAACCCTTTAAATAGAATATAGAAAAGGAACATACATTTGGAAGGCAAATTGAAACCTGGAGTAAGTTTTGCATCCCCAGTTGGACAGCCACCAAGCTTTTGACAAGCTTCTAACAATTGTGAACCAGCTGCTCTGTGTATCGCACCATCTACCCCTCCACCACCCCTCAACTGGGAATTCGCAGCATTTGCAATAGCATCAATTTGGAGATGTGTTATGTCTCCACGCCACAAACTAATACGTGATCCTAAATTCGACACCGAATTGCCCGTTTCTATCAAACGAGATTTTTAAAAACAGTTAAGCATTCTATAAAAGTAGTTTTTACAGAAACTAGTGCCTAATTTTTCAATTTAATTATTAACCTACACTTGGCAAAAGCAAATATTACAAAAGTGAATGAAAACGGGATGTTTGAAACAGTTTCAATGCTTGAAAAAGATTAAGATTTTCAAATAAAAAGGTTGATCTCAAAAATAAGTTTAGTATTTTTAGCTTTGAATGGATCTTCATAGGTAGTTAAAGCCACATATGCCAAAACTGATTGCTCGCTTCTGAAGAAGTAAGGAGTACTATTCATGGTTTCATTAAATGTTTGAAGAAATATTTCCTCAAGATAAATACAATATAATTAGGACAGGGTGTTGATAGTTTAAATACCGTTTATTTTGCCACATAAAAGAAGGCTACATGATTGGATGAGAATCATTCATTTTCTTTTGTGATTCTTGGTACACGTAGATTTATCTTCCTTTAGACCTTGTGGTATTTGTGTTGCATATTAGTCTCAAAACTGCAAATAGTGTTGCCAATAGAATACCCTACTTGTATCTTGTCAATCAGAATTACGCATCGAAAAGGCGGAGTTTAAGCATATGCACACAAGGAAGTGGATGTGTTTGGTAATTGATGCTATCATTAATTTGCACTGACAGCACCCTGACCTAGGCGCACCACAGATTATCTTTCAAATAAAGTAGATTACCTGCAAAGAATGTTCGTATATTCGACAACAAATCATTAATAACTGCGATGAATGACGTAAGCATCTTTTCGGACTAACGTTTCCGTAATGACTGAGTCAATATGGTAGCTTGGATTTTGCACAAAAAGTATGGACTAGAATTCTGGGTGGATTAAAGAACGTTGTAAAATCCAAGTAATATGGACTGCTATCCCATCTTGTATCACGCTAATGAAATATTACAAACTAGGTTTATAATACAGGTTAATCAATCACTACTCGGCTACAGAAATCCCGAAATAAACTCCAGGTAAGTGAGTAATCCAAAATAAAAGGGTACCCGAAGCTAACATTTGTCACCTGATTGTCAACAGATTAAGTTAACCAAGTATTATGAATACTAAACACACCTAAAAATTGACTTTGAAGTGTAAAGAATCTAATCCTAAACTCCGAAATTAAAAAGAAAGATCAGTTTAGTTAAAATTTTGTGGAAATTCACCAGAAAATTCTGTAGAAACTTTGGGGGAAGTTGAGGTAGAAATTACTCTTTCTCATTGTTCTGGGAAATTTCTACTTCCGCTGACTTTAGCGAATTCCCGGAAATCTCCACAAAGTTGAACTTGTCAAATCATTCACTACAAATTCACATTTTCCACGAAAATTCAACTTATAAAACTATAGTTGTCTGCTAGTTACCCCAGAAAAGTTAACTGATGCTTATAAGAAACTTTTCGACATAACACCACCTTCCACACTTGACTAAATCAATTCTATGTGAATCTACAAGTATCTATAAAAAACAATAAACATGATAGGGATCGAAAAATTTCGTAGGTGTAAACAAAATAGACTTTTTAGAGATATTCTTGGTACCTAATATAATGATGCACTGCGGGGGTGTTGCTTACGAAATTGAGAGAAAGAAAATCATATGCCTGGGAATTTAAATGGATTGGCGGATATAGAGGACCCACCTGTGGGAGTTGGAAAACCCTGATTCCAAACCAATAGTGCACGTGGGCTCTAGTATCCTGAGATAACAAATAGCGTATGGACCAATTATTGGTCACCGATTACCATGGGATTGCATCTCCTGACGTTGCTCCTCTGCCTTGTGGATCAGACCTCCAGATCAAAGGCTTCGGGCGTGGCCCCCTAAGAAAACCACCTGCTTCGGTCTGGGCACACGGGCAGCACCATGGCGCACACACAAATCAAGTGACTTGTGTGGCGCATATGTATTTGGTGCTCCTTCGCACCAATATTTGTGTTCAAAGAAATTAAATAAATAAATGATGTACTGCTCCAGTCAAAAGATTAATGTAACAATTGAAAGCACCTATTTGACTATACTGAAAATATTTACAATTAACAACACCCCTATTTCGTATTTACAGATGGTAGTTGGAATAGGGGATCGGATGATTTTACAATCAGGTAATTGTCTACCGTATTCTGAAACAGAAGCAAATCAGGGCATAAAACAATTACATCAATGAACCATCAATACAATGCACTATAAATTACCTGAATGATGTTGAGTTAGGATACATTAGTTTAGATATGGATCATAAGGCAGTATAAAAACCCCTTTATTCAAATGATCTCATGGGACTTCAATTTAAAGAGCAATATACATTATAATAAAAGATTGAAAAACAGTGAAGGATTTTTGATGGAACATATTTAGTAAAAGTCGTTATGAATCTAATTAAATGATGTGAACTGTGAAAAATTTATGTGAAACAATCTACTTGGAATGGATAATGTACTGTAACAACCCTGAGCATCTGTAAGGCCAGTTGAAAGGTGAGACTGAACAGAAATCGGTAGCTTACAGACCAAATAATAGATGAGTCGGAAACTTGTTTAATATGGTTGTCGTGTTTTTAGCAAGATTTCTTCTACGGGATGGGGTTGCCGACCCCATGTTCAACCCTCCTCCCTTACCCGGGCTTGGGACCGGGAGTAACTCTAGAAGAGCTACCGGCGGAGTTATGAGTCGGAAAAATTCTCGTATATTAGCGAAGTCAATGTTGGCTTATGTTATGACATCGAATTTAGAGATTCGTTAAACGCTACATGAAACGAAAGGCAATTACCGAACCATTGATAGCAAGTGAGAGTCATGACAAATATGACTGATCAGATGTTTCTTGTCTGGGAAAGACATTAAAAGATTGATACTGTTTGTAAAGGCTTTCTGAACGATGTGAGGAATAAAGCATACAGGCGAGCAAAGAAATCGAAAGGAAATACAAGTGCAAACTAATTAAAATTGTACGTAAGATACATATGGTCATATATCTTGTTCATAGATTGATATATAAGATACCAACTACTCCTCATTCCCACTTTTTGACTAGACTCCCAGGTACTGAATGACGTTATCATAGGTTATTCATTGCAAATAAATTGTTGCATTCAAACTATTATAGCTAATATCACTTTCGGTTCACTGTAAAACCCATTTTAAAACTGGTGTTTTTCTGAATAAGCATAATCTCAATACCCCATAGTATAACAAATTGACAACTTCTTGATCATAAATCTATGTTCTGATTTGCTTTGTTTAGGAATATCGTGGACATAACGAATCCTAATTAACTACTATTTTGCTTTCCTTTTTTAAAAGATTTGAAAATGCAAAATATGGATTTCGTTTATAGTAAAAAGTCCTTGTTCAATCGAATACATATTTCGAATTATAATACCTTAGTCTTTTGATTACGGTGATACATACTTTGTATGAGACACAATATCTAGATAAAAAAAGCCACTAATTACTTCCCCAAAACCTATCAGTCTTTACCATATATTATTTTCCCAGCCTCTTATTTATTTGTCAACTGTCATAGAATTGATGGACAGTGGTATTTTACGAGAGAGTGCAAAACTAAGTTTTTTGGAGTAACAGGCAAACAATTGTAGTTCCATAAAAGCGAAAAATGTACGGAAAAACTTAGTGTTCGTAACAGTTCTATTGGAAATCAAGTACTCATTTAGGGGTTTTAGGAGGAAATTACAGGCAAAAATCCAGATTCGGAAGTCCATACTGTATAAATTGTGAATGGAAATCTTGTGTAAATTTAATAACGATCTCGGGCGAAATTCCCAGACCAGTATAAATTTAGAGTCTTCTTAGACTTTTACCCGAAGGTTTACTCTAAGTCAGTCGAGTTTTTCCAAAGTTGGGTGTTTAAACATTTAATGAAATCGGGTTATAAAAGCAGGGTAAATTAATATCAAAAGTTTGGAGGCAACCTCTATATAGTATATTATTAAACAATTCTCTCACTACGAAATCTCTTAAAGGCTCAGATATAACAAACCTTTAACAACCGAAGACCAAGTCGGGACATCTGCAAGACCTTTCAGCATTTCGACAGCCCAACACGACAACGGCACTGTGTTCTCATCTATTGTGAGAGGTTACTGAGCTCTTGAAGGTCGAACTGTTGTAAAACTATTGGTGCGTCACTTCGACAGCTTGTAAGGCTTTGCAGAAGCGGCTAATTCAAAACAATCGTAAATTGGATTTGAGTTTAGTCACACTATGTTCGATGGCCTCCATCCCTCAAGTAACGAAAGTGATCCCATCAAAATGATGTATGATATAGGACTAATCTTCAATGACACTACTTCAACTCGATGGTTTACCGGTTAATACAGCTTTAAGAGATGCCTGAAAGCTTTCAGGCACTCTGTTTCTTGTACTTACTCCAACTAATAAATTTCTGTAACAACGTCGCTATGTTTGACGGTCATCAAAGCAGCCATAGTACCTGGATATGAGTTCTTGGAGTAAAGCAGAATGTTGTCTCATCGTTGGAGACTTCAATGCACCCCATATAAACTGGATAGAGCTCACAGCTCCAGGTGGGGGTTTCGATAGCGTCCTTCTGTCATCAATTATTCAATGTGCACTTGTACAATGTATCGTTAAGCCGACGCAAATAGACTTGGAACATAATCCGTCATTGATAGACCTTGTCCTCACACACCACTGTGAAGATATCGTCGACATTCAACACCTTCCCCCACTGGTGAATAGTGACCATGTCGTACTTTCCTTTAAGTTCCGGATACATGGTATAGAATTTGCATCTGCTCCACCCCGTCCTAATATCTGGAGAGCTAATATTCCGGCAATCAGGGACTATGCTATCTCAATTGACTGGTCGGTCGATGCTGATGGATCGATTGATGATGCATGGAATAGGTTCAAGTCTACATTCGAATCCGTAACTCAACCGTTTATTCCATGGTCAGCACGTAAGCTATCATATTGCCCCCCATGGATTAATAAGGAAACCCGGAAGCTGTTGAAGCGTAGGAAACACTTCTGGGACTTATTCTTGTCAACAGGTCAGGCATCATTTAAGTGCGAATATAAAAAAATCCGGAATATATGTAAAAAGACCATAGCTAAATCCCGCACGGCTTACGAACGACAGTCGGCATACGATAGCCGTACCTGTCCGAAGCGACTGTTTTCGCATGTTAAAAGGCGGACGAAACGTAGTGATGGTATCCCCTCATTACTGTTAAGCGAAAATTCAGCTTTATTGGCTGAATCTGATCTAGCGAAAGCGGAGACATTTGCAAACTATTTCAGTGAAATCTGTCGAGATATAACCTTAAAAACCTATTTTGTAAATAATTTTTCATAGTTTTCGCATGTATTTTCATATTCTGTACATTAAGCATTAAACAATTGTACTTGTTGTTTAACTGTATTACATTGAACGCTTGTAACACACCTTCCTTCTGTTGTGAGTACAACATACCGTGCCACTGTTAATTCTCCTCAACAAATACACTCTAATTCACATCTGCATCGTTCTGTCCTGTCTTCTAATATGTTGAATGAAATATTAATTGCATACCATCTACGTTTATAGACAATTGCGACATTCTTATTGGATTCTACGCTTGGTAAAACTACTGGATCTATATCGTCCATATTGGGATTATTAATTTTGTTATAATTGTGGAGTATCTGGACCAAACCAAGCCGAACACGCAATAGCCTGAAGACTTAAGTAACGTCTCTTATTTTGTTATTTTTGTGTGTAATTACTTATTAACTGTTAATTGTTACATAAACTATAGACATAATATTTTTGTTGCTAATTTTTTTGGTTATCAAACATTTTGGTCCGCCACAATTATTTGGTGAGCCTCGATTATCTCTTTATAGACATTTACTATATATAGCTACATAATTTAGTATTCTTATTAATCGGCACGACCCCATTTTTTTTTGTTTTTGACATTATGGACTCCCCTAATAAACTTATCGATATTGATGGCTCATTAACCAACTCCTTTCATTCACCACCGCCAGAACATAATGTTTTAAACTCAATCAACACTATTTCTGAACTGAGATTACCAACATATGGTGTTAATAACCCCAGAATCTGGTTTGCACAAGTTGAGGCACTATTTTTGTCGAGGGGCATACGTTCACAAGCGACTAAATATGCCCACATCGTCGGGGCACTACCTATAGATGTTGCAACGGAAGTCAGTGACCTGATAGATAACGTACCAGAAATGGACCCCTATGACAAAATAAAAGCTGCAGTGATTCACCGTACTTCGCAGTCTGATGAAAAACGCTTGCAGCAACTACTCACCGCATGCGAGTTAGGGGACAAAAGACCTTCACAGTTGCTTAGGCACATGAGACAACTATCAGGCCCTTACAAGTTAGACGAAGCATTACTTAAGCAGATATGGTTACAAAGGTTACCATATAACGTCAGACAAATCCTCAGCATATCAGGAGCCTCTGTCAGTCTTGATGATTTAGCAGACATGGCTGATAAGATGATAGAAATATATCCTGATAGTCACGGCGTTAGCGCGATACAATCCTCAAATGCAGAAAACATGAGCGACGCACTCAACATCCAACAACAAATAACACTGTTAACACAGCAGCTAGCATCACTGCAGGCGACTGTTGCCACCATCCATTCTCGACCTCCCAGATCTATGTCCAGAAGGAGATCAGTATCCAGACATCGTCTTAGGTCACCTAAGCGGGCAGCCGGAATGTGTTGGTATCATTCGAAGTATGGTGAGAAAGCACGTTGTTGCACAAAACCGTGCAACTTTAAGACAACCAACCCAGTCTATCAGGGAAACGAAGCGGCCAGACAGTAACGGCGGCAGCTGCTACTGGCCAACATGTTAGCCGCCTATTTCACGTCAGGGATTGCATTTCTGGCTCGGATTTTTTAGTCGATACTGGAGCAGAAATCAGCATCATCCCACTCCATCTCTCCCGCAGACAACAGACAACAAGCACTAAATTGTCCTTAGTAGCGGCTAACGAATCAGTTATCAAAACTTACGGAGAACAATCTCTTATATTAGACCTCGGGCTCCGCAGAAGATTCACACGGGTATTCATAGTTGCCCAAGTCAAACGACCCATCCTCGGGGCTGATTTTCTTAGTGCGTACAACCTGTTAGTAGATATGACCAACAAGAGACTAATCGACGTAAACACACGTTTACAGGTAAATGTTGCACTCTCCAATGACAACGAGATCCAGGGCGTTCGAATAATGAAACCTGTGAACAACATCTTCAACGACATTCTAACAGAATACCAGTGCATTACGAAATCAGATTACCAAAAGGAGAGTAACCCACAGCTGGTGCAACACCATATCACTACCACCGGACCACCCACCCGCGCCAGGGCGAGAAGACTCCCTCCAAACAAGTTGCAGTTCGCTAAGAGAGAATTCGAACACATGATGCAACTTGGAATAATCAGACAATCTAACAGTCCTTGGGCCTCGCCGCTGCATATGGTCCCCAAGAAAGATCAGGACTGGCGCCCATGTGGAGATTATCGCAGATTGAATAACCAGACGATCCCAGACAGGTATCCGATCCCTCATCTACATGATTTTTCGTTAAACCTACATGGAAAACAGATTTTTTCAAAGTTAGATCTCGTTCGAGCATACCACAAATACCGATGGCACCTGAGGATATCGAAAAAACAGCCGTTATCACACCTTTTGGCTTGTTTGAATTCTTGAGGATGCCTTTCGAACTTAAAAACGCCGCTCAAACCTTTCAGAGATTTATGGACGAAGTAACTAGAGGATTAGATTTTGTGTTTGTCTATATCGACGATGTTTTGATCGCTAGTTCTTCCACTGAAGAACATATTCAACACTTACACACGCTTTTTGAACGTTTCAAAAGTTATGGTGTTGTAATCAACCCTTCAAAGTGTACATTTGGCGCCTCATCACTGAAATTCCTGGGACACCACATTGATTCTCAAGGAATTAAACCACTTGAAGAGAAAGTCAAAGCCATAATCAGCTACCCAGAACCAACATCAGTAAAATCACTACGGCGTTTCCTTGGAACATTAAATTTTTATCGACGATTTTTACCCAATTGTGCCGATGTGCTACAACCCTTAACGGATCTACTTAAAAATGATAAATCGTGTAGCAAAAAAAGAAGAACCAACAATTCCAGTTATCCTCTGACGTCAAAATGGCATTCGAAAAAGCGAAAAACTTGATCGCCGATGCTACTATGCTACAACACCTAAACACTGACCCCCAAACGCATCTGATCCTGTGTACGGACGCATCCCAAAAAGCTGTAGGGGCAGTGCTACAACAACGGGTTAATAACACGATTACGCCAATCACCTTTTTCTCTAAACGGTTATCACCTACCCAAGAGCGGTACAGCACATTTGGGCGAGAACTTTTAGCTATGTACTTAGCTGTCAAACACTTCAATTTTCTACTACAGGGTCGTGACTTTACTATTATGACTGACCATAAACCCCTGTGTTGCTCATTTAATATGTCATATGATAGACACTCTCCACGTGAAGCGAGACAACTCGATTATATCTCGCAATTCACCACAGACATCCAGTTTATCAAAGGCCATACCAACATCGTCGCAGACGCATTGTCTAGAAAGGATATCAATATGACGGTACTTAATCAGGACATCAAACTTGAAACCTTAGCCAAATTACAAGCAGACGATGCAGAATTGAAGGTCTGTAGAGAAAAGTCTAGCTTGAACCTAAAATCGGTACCTATTCCTTTCTCAGACGCATCCATAATTTGTGACACTTCAACAGGCAATAATCGCCCTTTTGTCCCTCAGGCTTGTCGACTAAAGTTATTCCAACACTTGCATGGTTTATCACATCCGGGCATCCGAGCTACTACAAAGCTGATAACTGAACGTTTTGTTTGGCCGAAAATCAATTCAGATATTAAACGTTGGACACGTGGTTGCCTTCAGTGTCAACGTAGTAAGATCCAAAAGCATACTATTAGTCCAATCGGAAAATTTCCTATTCCGGATAGACGTTTTCAGCATATCCATTTAGATTTAGTAGGACCTCTACCTTCGTCAAATTCTTTTACTCACATCCTCACGGCAATAGACAGATTCACTCGATGGGCCATTGCATGCCCCATCAAAGACACATCAGCTGAGACTGTAGCATCCGTTTTTCTAGACCGATGGATATCGCACTATGGTGTACCGACAACCATCACAACTGATCGTGGTCCCCAGTTCCAGTCTATCCTGTTTCAGGAGTTCACAAGACTTCTGGGCGTAAAACACATCAGAACCACAGCTTACCACCCAGCAGCAAACGGCATGGTTGAAAGATTTCACCGGCAATTAAAAAGCTCACTCATGGCTCAAACTGATTCAACAAAATGGAGTGATGCCTTGCCGCTTGTTCTCCTTGGGATTCGTGCCACGGTGAAAGAAGACATAGGTTATACAC